AACGGCGTCCTCCCGGTCGAGGGCTTCTGTCGCGATTGCCGCGGAGAAGGGCTGGAAGGAAACGATGTCGTTGAGAGACCAGAGCAAGGTCATAGACAGCGGCAAAGAGGACGGGAACAACGACGGGAGGAGCCCGAGCTGTCTGATGAAATGGAGGGAGTTTGAGGAAGTAGAAATACACTAGCGATGGTAGCTGTAATGCTGAGGCTGTCGAACTTTACTTCTAGTGTTGCTCAACAAGGCAGGTACGGCGAGCTGAATATCCAAGACAGAGTAATAGCGTCTCGTCATAACTCTCGGAGATGGCGAGTGATCTCTTTCGGGCTATTCACCTGCGTGAGAGGGTGAGGTTTAGGAAGGCGGTTATTAGCCATCATACGTCGGCTGCACGCCGACACATTGGAGTGCCATTGGCGCGTCGCCCGCTCGCCTTATAGAGTAGGTGGCGAGGCTTCAGCTGGGCGGAACGCCGTCGGCGTAGCTACCTTGCGGCGTGACACGCTGGGGCTGGATAGGGTTCCCAATTGGGTGTAACGGCGAACTCGGCCGGATCTTACTCCGGATCCTCGATGTTGCATTGTTCCTCAAGTCGGGGATCTTGACTTTGGAAGTATATGGATACTCCAGGTAAGGCCAGGTCTTGGCGGCATCCGAGGCATATCGTAACCGTTCATATCTCCGAAGTCTCAGGCCATCGGGATTGATGCCACCGGAGCATGAGATTGTGCGACGATGTCGTGACCATCATCGTATTTAGGTAGGACGTCCTGGATTCGATAGAGCCCGATAGTATGTGATGTAATCCGGAACCCGAGTCACGAGTGTTCTAAGGCTACTCGCGGTTCATGACGGCGGTTTCGAGTGATCGTCGTGAAAGGAAGGTGAGGAAACCACACCACCAGCTGTTTGTCTTGGCAAAAGTGATCTCGCAGCAGTAAAGCGGTAGTGCTGAAGAACCCTGGCATAGATGGGAGCCAAGCATTTGTAGGTTCTTGGAATGCCGGTGGTTCCTGGCTGGGGTCGTCGAGTGTGGCAGGTCGGTAGAGGCGGGGAGGCTAGAACTGGTTCTGCAGAGGATACCACCATTCTTTGGCAAGAAATCGTGACTGCGGTTCCAAGGACATGCCTAAACTGCCTTCCAGAAGGCCACTAGCTTTGAACCTTCTCAGTCTGTCCGGTTCAGAGCCGTACCTTGATGGTCACCTCCCCCTTTCAGCAAGCGATGCCATCGTGGGAATTTTGGTGGTGGAGGTTGGGCGGTAGCCTAACGCATGGCCCAACGGCGAACACACTGGCAGTGTGTTGTGTGACATGACTATTTCGGTCAAGGCTGCTGTTGTAGCCCTCAAGCTATTGAATGACTGCAGCAGTGGTCAGTGCTGCGTAGCCTGTGGGTGTGTCCGAGTGCCTGTGTTGTCAATAGCTGTAAAGCACTTGTGGCCCATCAATTGCTGGGTAGGACGAAAGTCAATGTCGGTGCTCCGTAGACAAGCATCAGAAGGAAGAGCTTTTGATCCATCACCCCACATCAGACAAGATCTCGGCAGCGGCCCCGAGCCTAGGTAGGATACTGCTGTTCTGCCGCCGCGAGACTCGAGGGTGACAAGGGTGGTGGAAATGAAAGGCTTGAGACTCCGTTGTAGTACAGGAATTACTTGAGTTGATGTAGCGCCTGAATCTCTCGTGATTTGTGCTGTTGCCTTTGATCCCGTCTTGGCTAGCCTGCAGGACAGTACAAGTCTGGAAGGACGTTGGAAGAGCGGAGTGCTAGCTGAGTTCCAGGGTCAAGAAGGTTTACGCGGATGGGATTTCGTAGCATGGAACGGCAAAACAACCAACTTGGGCACGCCGCACTGGAGAAGGTTGTGGCGGTAGGATGACGGTTGTGTGAGTTAAGCTTGATCACGAATGGAGATCATGGGGCTGGAATCTGGAATACTCAAGAGCTTGCCCCCCGCTTCTTACTTTACTGAATCGTGCGAAGCTTCAGAGTCCTGGCTGACAGGAAAGAGAGGCAAAGGCCAGAGGTGACATTCGGGGAGTTGCCATCCCACCATCTCCGCTCCGAAAGGGCAGGGGAATTGGATCATGTCAGCATCGCTAAAGCAGGAGGGCCCACTACCTTATCACGTTATCGGTGCCATGGGAAGACGCTCGGATCATAGGCTGCACCTACTACGGCTCGAGCCCCCACTTGCCGGCGGGAATTTCGGAGAGGCCCGCCTTGAGGTGGAAAAGCGGGTACCTTCAGAGTACGTACTCCGATACGTACACTGCCCGCAGCATGTGATTCACGGGGCTCCTACCGCTTCTAAGTACCAAGGTATCTTGTCTCTTGCCGCCCGGGATTTCTCTCTCTTTTCCCACCTCATAATGTCGCCGATCTACGGATACACTTATTCAATTTTGGTAGCAATTATTCAATGTTTGAGATATCTTGCCGAGCCACAAAATCATGTGGCGTTTCCCGCTACCAAGGATGCGGGGTTCCACGACTCGTGAAGGCTTGGACTCACAGATGTCTCGGCCAACCCTATTCTGAGCTCTTCTTCGAACAAAGGTGCGGGTGGCTGCTGACGGCGTACATGTGTTCCTCCTTTCAGGGATCTTGATCAGGAACCAGGGGTCTCCAACGAGCGATGTCCAGTTAGAAGCCTAGAACACACGCGGCGAACACTTCACTTGCTCGTCCACTCGTCCAAGTATGGACGCGCTGATATGCGCTGATAATTGCGTGAAGGTCCAAAATCTCTGGCATGGACCTTGGGGAAGCCCAGCACAGGCCAGCCTCTGCCGAGATGTGCTGTAGACCAACCAGCTTATCTCAACATCCTAGGAGACCCTCCTCCGACCTAAAGAGGATCAGAGCTCTCAAGAGCAAGAGAGCTTTCCTTGCGTGAGAAAGCTGCGGACTTCGTTGCGTGCTTAATCAAGTTCGGGAGCTCTAGATCGGGAGTGAGGGGCTACGATGAGCTGCTTCAAGGATCTTCTGTTGTGGGTGAGTCTCCACAGGAGCTCTGATCCTTGACATTAACGTCTATTTCATTTGGCTCCCTGGCTCTGTTGGCATTTTGCATGCATTAAACAAGAATATGCGTCCAAGTCAACTCACCGCAATCAGGATAGGGCACAACAGCGTGCCCCATGTCCATGCAACAGGCAGCGGCGCGTACATTGCTGGCTTTTTGCAGCTGGCCTCTGAGAGCCATGGTAGTAGACGCGGAGGTCTACATGAATTCCGCCTCGGAAATGCTCTCCGACGGGCCACATACAACTACCTTAGCTGCGGGCTGCTTGGTCTGAGCCTGGCGCCAACATATCCGCCCTCGGCCGCCACATGCGATCCACCGTCGTGCAACGGACACTTCACTCTAGAATCAACGATAGAAATGCAGCAATTCACTCATCGGTGGCACTTATCACGACTAATTCGCCATTTGCTACCTATCCTCCATCATCCTCTCCTGGGGTGCATTTTGGCAGCCCCCAATTCCCCCAGAACTTATCATCCCACCCCGATCGCCGACTGTCACGCTCCACGGTCAACTGCCGGATTAGGAAGGCGAGATATCTCACCTGGGGTAACATCGCCTTGACGCACGAGGATCAACCTTCCTTCGACGAACCACAGCTTCACTATGGCCTGCGATATCGTCTGCCACCCCGGACCCCCGATGCATCCATTTGAAGCTCAAGCCCTGTTTAGGGATGGAGATGAGGAGCAACAATGAAGGTGGTCCAAGTCTCCAAGATCTCATAGGTTGGAACTTTTGGGGTTGAGTGGGCGCTGAGGCCATCAACATCACCAACACCGACATTTACAACCTGCAAAGCGACCTCATACGCATCAGCTGCCATTAATTCGGGTCCATAGACTTTTTGTCTAGCATCAGGACAGAAAAGATGTCGTTTCTCGACCATCCTACAGGGGCCAGGCGCGAGAGCCCGGGAATCCACCGCATCCTGAATTTATGCATAAAAAAGCCTTGGCACTGCCGTTCCGAGGACCGTACCGGTCTTAGGACTGGACGTTGAGGTATATTGCTAATGGCCATTAGTATTCGACAACTCGATTTCATTGGTGGCTCTTGGCTCGGACAACTCTCGCCTTGTACTGCGCGAAGAATGGGACTGGAAGACCACTCCAATGGGCCGTCCAAATGCTGATGTTGTCACCGCTGCATTTCCGTCCAACAGCGGCGCCCACAACAGCTGTTTGTCGAGCCTCTATCCGCTTCTCTCCCGTGCCCGCGGGACGCGTATCTCCACTATGCGATATTGATCCTCGAAATGTTCGCTTCTTGTCTTGTAAGTCCTGGTATCGTTCAAAGCTTACTGGTTGTACCTAACCAGGTGACGACAGAGGGCTTGAGATGCCTGCAAAAGCCGTCGAACGCCCAATCTTAAAGTCACTTGCGACCATCTGATAGCTTTGTTGCATTGCCAAGCCGGTCTAGCATGCCTCCTCTCTCACCCAGCTTGCTGCATCACCAATATCGCCGTCAATCAACTTCCTATTTTTGATTTTGTCGCACAAGCCTCTGAGATGGCTGCTTTATGTCGCCACATGGCGCCATTGGTACTCTCCTTCCCCTTTCCGCGGACCATGTCGTCTTATCGACTTGGGTTCACTTGCTGTACAACCGCCAGCGTAACTTTTGGCGACATATCCAAGTTTGACAGGTTCATCCCGACTTGGACCCTGCGGCGATGGCTGTTTTCCGAGCAAGGGTCCGAATCATGTACGTACTGCTTCTCGTAGGGCGCCCCGGAACTCTGTCTGCAAGCAGTAATGCACCATCGAGGGCCTGGATGAGCCAGCCACTTACATGACATGCAACGGACGAACATCGAGCCTCACTCGATTTCAATGACGAGGAGGAAATCTATATAACGGCTTTCAACAACCCACGATATTCGGTCTCTTTTCACTCCTCACCCCTCATCCTCTCCTACAATCCCAACTCCAACTCCTGCATCTCGGTCTATCGACAGTCACAATGGTCGGTTTCAAGCAACTCGCGCTGCTCGCAGCTGCTACCTGCGGCTTCGCTGCTCCCACTCTCAAGGAGAGAGCTGCCGAGACCATGGTCCAGACCCGGGCTGAGAACAGCTACATCATCACCCTCAAGAGCTCCGTCGGCTCCCAGGGACTCACCTCTCACTTGAGCTGGGTCAACGATGTTCACTCCCGCAGCCTCGACAAGCGCCAGTTCACCGGCGCCGAGCGCACCTACTCCTTCAACTCCTTCCAGGGATACTCTGGCAAGTTCGACGATGCCACCATTGAGGCTATCAAGGCCAGCCCTGAGGTAAGATTTAAAGCTCCGGTGCATTGAAAGAGCCCACTCTGACACTACGGATAGGTCGCTGCCGTTGAGCGTGACGAGATCTACACTCTGAGCGCCCTTGTCACCCAGACTGGTGCTCCCTGGGGTCTCGGAACCATTTCCCACAAGACCTCCGGCTCTACTTCGTACATCTACGACAGCGCCGGCGGCACTGGCACCTTCGCCTACGTCGTCGACTCGGGCATCAACACCGCCCACACCAACTTCGGCGGCCGCGCCTCGCTCGGCTACAACGCCGCCGGCGGTGCCCACACCGACACCCTCGGCCACGGCACCCACGTTGCTGGCACCATTGGCTCCACCACCTACGGTGTCGCCAAGCTCACCTCCCTGATCTCCGTCAAGGTCTTCGTCGGCAACTCCGCCTCCACCTCGGTCATTCTCGACGGATACAACTGGGCCGTCAACGACATCACCACCAAGGGCCGCGCCGGCAAGTCCGTCATCAACATGTCCCTCGGCGGCCCCGCTTCCACCGCCTGGACCACTGCCATCAACGCCGCCTACAACTCCGGCGTCACCACCGTCGTCGCCGCCGGTAACGAGGCCCAGAACGCCGCCAACGTCTCCCCCGCCAACGCTGCCAACGCCATCACCGTCGGTGCCATCACCAGCACCTGGGCCATTGCTTCTTACTCCAACTACGGAACTTCCCTGGACATCTTCGCCCCCGGCAGCTCCATCCTGTCCACCTGGTACACCTCCACCACCGCCACCAACACCATCTCCGGTACCTCCATGGCCTCCCCCCACGTCGCCGGCCTCGTCAACTACCTCCAGTCCGTCGAGGGCCTCAGCACCCCCGCCTCCATCGTTGCCCGCATCAAGGCCCTTGGTACCTCTGGCAAGATCACCGGTACCCTCAACAGCTCCCCCAACCTGGTTGCCTACAACGGCAACGGCGCGTAAGCGGTTCCTCGTCAAGAACCGGCAAATTTCGTCAAACCGACCGAAAGCCAGCCGCGGGGGGCGAGAAGACGTTCCGCCCTTTCCGACGGCCAAGAGCGTTTCGCAGCTCGCTCACCTTGTACATGAAGGAGTTGGGATTCCCTCATCAGAGATGAGCGGAGGAGCGCTGTTTCTTACGATGGAATGAGGATGTTTATAAGACTTCGCTGCCTTGGGTTTTGGACCTTGGCTCTCCCATTTTTGAGATTTGTAGGTGTCATTTTGGGCATATATAGTTGATAGGACAATAAAGAAGATGCATCTGAAAGTAACTTTCCAAGTTGGCATTGTGATTTGAAGCCGAATGTACATCAATTGAGGTCATCAATGCAAGGGTGATGACTGATCAGAGCGACAAGCTTCGTCGTCTAGACTCACACCTCTTGGCGAACGGGATCCTTACTCAATGGGGTATTAATATCAATTGCATCTGACCCGCCCGCCATAGCTTGGATTCTGGAGAATCGTGATCCTTGACCGGCATTTCTTCCCTGTAATCTCGTATTCTGAGTCTTGGCAGTTGTCATCTCTTTTGCAGTGTACCTGACGCTCTATGGTAGGATGTCATGCGAATGAGTAGCTGGGTCAAGTGGTGGAGATGCAATGCGACGACTTTAATATCATCCGGGGAGGGCGCTGGGTAAGGGTTCTCGCGGGGAAATAAGGATCGTCTCCCCCAGGTTCAAGGACTCGGGGTACCCTGGGGGCTGGTACTGTGCCCCGACTCCCACTCTCCTACCATACTCCGCGCCGATCAGCAGAGCATACATGACAGGACCAAATATTCGGGCCCCTTTGATAGACGGAGTCATTCAGCAAATCATCAGGCTTCGTGGCTTGGCGTGGGTTGAGTTGATTTGCTTGATGAATTGAGGTTTTGCGTGCGCACATAATTGCAGCTGGGGATGTGCCTTTTTGAACACTTAATTTGCCTTTTTCTCATTGAAAGCGATTATCTCAGAACGAGATTTAACGTAAAACCATCTGGTTCCTCAGAAACAAGTTGGTGTTAATTTCGTTACTCTTGTGGAGATCAACTCCGCCACATATGGGACCACGTCGACTCATGTGTAAGTGGGATAGCCCACAATAATAAGTTGTCCGGGACCACATGTGTCTTAATGTACCCAAAAGACTCATACTCATATCAGCAAATAAACCCCGGTGTATCAGCCTTCATTGCGAGAATACTTGGAAACGATTTTCAGTCCTGCGTTGTCCCCATACTCCTCCAATGTCCCCGGCCGCCTTAACTCCGTCAGATGTCATCCGTCATCAGCCTCTGACAGAATGACCTTGAAACAAAACCTTCTTATATTGACAACATCTGCGCAGGCTAGTGATGCTATGTTTGTTGTGAAAGTGACCTTCCCTCGTGAGTGACGAATCGAAACAAGAGCTAAAACTGCAGTGCACCGGAGACTATTAAACTTGCGGATGCGATTCTTCTTATCAGTGTCTTTAGTGGTTCTGGTGAAAAATCAACACGGATGACCTCTATGCTGCCGGGATTGGAATAGAATTCAGGTATATCAATATGTGGTAGCTTACTATCAGACTGTCAGTTTTACAAATCGTGATTACAGTCTTTGGATGACTGGCTTGAAGTGAGAATACGCGTAACGGGAATAGGCATGTCGCTGAATATTTCTGCCTCTCCGGTTTCCTGTCACACGTACATTAGTTGACTGACTCAAACACGTCCTCCAATCCACTTCGCAAAGGGTTTTTGCCGATCAAGCTATGTTCATATTATCTTGCCAGGAATACCAACAGGCATGTCGGTACCGCGGAGTTGGGCTCGTTGACACCGTACTGAGCTCACTCAACCCAGAAAGCAAGTTTGATGCAGCCCTCACTGCGATTGCAGTTCCAAGATGAAGGCACTCGGTCTGGCTCAAGTTTTCTCCAGACGGCCATTAGTTCGAAGGAGTGCCACCTGAATACGTAGGAGAGAAAGCAGACGAAGTTGGCTCTCATTTTCTTGTTGTACATACATGTACGAAGCCGTGTCCGTGATCTTTGGACACTACCACAAACAATAGCCGTCAAGCACGAATAGCGCCTGCAGTCTCGTTACTCAGCAGCACTCCTAATCTTGCATTCTCTGTGGACCTGATGATTTGAGGCATTGTTTGCGCTTGCGGACAGCCCCGGTAGCTAGGGGTTTAAGTTCCGGAAAACACGAGTCAATGTGAGAAGGAAGACTCTACTAAATCATGTCAGCAAATTCATATGCGCTGGTGAGCCAGGCTGCTCGTTATGGAGCGAATGCGAGATGAGTACTCTTCGGCAAACCCGATCGATTGCCAAACGCTGCTACCATCAACAACAGAGCTATTGGCGAAGGTTAAATAGAGACGGTTCGCGCTGTTGCTGAACTTGAATCTCACTGTAGCCTACCATCATCCCCAGAAACAAGAGCCTCACTTCAAGTCACTCATTCAAACAATCGTCACCATGCTCTTCCAGCCTTCTCAAGTCTTTGTTCTTGCCCTCGGGCTTCTGTCTGCCACTGCCACCGCCGCGCCAACTGAGGTGGTGGAGCCTCGTGCTGAGGTCCTCGACATCGGTGCTTGCTACAGCTCCAAGTTCACTTGCGCCTTCCAGGGATGTCTTGCTGGATACACTTGCTCTCAGCACACCGGAGGTACTGACTACTGCTGCGTCAAGTGGGGTTGTAAGTGATTGTGTCTCTAAATATAATCAAACAAACATGCTAACAAGTAGTAGAAACTACTCGCTCTACCTTGCAAATAGCTGTTACTTTCCATCGATCATCTAATCTGTTCGGCTTTGGACGCGGTCCGGATTCGATTCCAACGATAGGATGGGAATGGTTGTCTATGATTGTTTCATCTACTCAGATTTGACAGAATAATTTTACACTTCATCACCAAGGCATCGGCATCATAAACCAAGATCGCAACCGCAAGCAAATTTGACCCATTCTGTTTTAACTTTGATGTCATTTTGCCATTCTGTGGTTTGATACACACACCTATGCTTAACTTCCCATCGAATTACTTAAGGTCTTGCAATATCTCTGCCCGCTAGCCAGATGAACAACCAGCTTATTGAGATCATGATCTTCCTCCTCCAGCTCCTCGTCCAGCCTAGGCTTCCAGAACGCCAAGCCAACCACGCGCTCATCCCCGTCCACTCCTGCTTACCACCAATGATACCGTCGTGGCGGCCTAGGTAGGCCAAGAGTGCTCTCTGCTTGTAGTTGAAAGGAACAGGATCGGCATTCGAGTTGAGAATGGTCGTGAGATACTCGCCTTTTTGCAAAGCTACCTCAGCCAGAGTGGGTAACGACTCGCCCTCGATATCAGCGGCGTCGCCGAGCGCGTAAACATCGCTCATTGGACTTCCATCTGGATGTAAGACGCGAAGATACTTGTCAGTCAAGATGCGAGGCAGACCGCTCTCTGGCTTTTTGACAGGCAGCTTCTCAACCAAGGTGCTTGCCTTATTGCCCGTAGCCCAAATCAGCAGTCCGTACGGCAAACGCCCGTCCTCCTTCGTGAAGATCGCATCGGCTTCAACACTCTGAATGTGTGACCCGGTCTTGATCTTGACATGCTTCCCTTGCAACGAACTCGTAGCGTATTCGCTCAAGTTTGCGTCAAAAGTGGACAAAATCTTGGGCGCGACGTCGTGAATGGTGATGGTCACCTTACCATCGAGGTGAGGAAACAGAAAACGCATATCTTCGAACCAGAGGTCCCATAGCTCAGCGGCAGCCTCAATACCGATAGCTCCGCCGCCGACAATTCGAATGTTGAGATAGTCTAGCTGATCTTGTTCGCTTGTCGTTGGAAGAGACGCCTTATCGAGCATTTGGAGAATGCGCTGCTGGATCAAGCGGGCATCATTGGTTGTCTTCAGAAAAAGAGCGTGCTCTTTCGCGCCCGGTGTGCCGAAGTCCTGAGTACCGCATCCAGGCGCTATGCAAATCTTGTCGTACCTCACTTCAAAGGTAGTCGGGGCTTCGCCTGCGGTGGGTGCATCAGTCTTGCATCGGACTATCCGCTTTTCAAAGTCGATGTCTTCCGCCAAAGCCTTGTAGTACTCCATTTCCGTCCTGTGCTTCCGCCTGACCGGCTCTTCCGCGAGACGGAAGTTGAATAGCCCGCATGCCGCGCTGGCCAGCAAGGGAGTGTACTGGATTGTTCGAATTGGCGAAATGACCTTGATATCGTATTTCGCTAGGTCGACTTTTTGAGTGAGGGTGAATCCACCCCAGCCGGTACCAATGACGACGAGGACTGGTTTTGACATGCTGAACTGTGATGCTCTATCCACAGGTCTGAACTGCAGCGCTGCTTCCCCGCGCAATGTGATCTTGGACCGACTTCTTATGGTTTTCTCAATCCTTGCTTCACTTGGAACGAAATTATTAACCTTACGTCACGGGTCCCAGAATATCAGCGTGCGGCATGGCAGTTGCGCTTTCGTGGGCTCTTCGGGCAGGGAACGTCATCGATTTTCGGAGACCAAGGAATGTAGCATCGCCTGGCTGGGGGGAAGCTCGGAGGTTTGACACCTTGGTTCGGCAAGATATGACTGGCTGGAGCTGGCTGCCGTAGCTTGGTCCGAACCTAGACAGATGCCGGGAGATCTCCGCGTTCCACCCGGGCCCACTTCTTCGGCTGGATTGGTCCGGTCGATGATGGACGGGGTCCAGGGTTCGTCTAGAAGCCGACTTTCACAGACATATTGTTGCATGGGCTGCTTGAAGGTTTGTCGAGATTGCGGGGAAGCTTTCTTGTCAGCTTGGCAAATTTTCCGGTTAGGCGTCTTTAATGGTGGTGATTTGATGATCGAGAAAACTTGCTACAGTCAAGTCGAGGCTGTACAATGCCCGTGTTTGTAGACCTTCTCCTTGCGGACGGGATTACCGGATGTATGAATTCAGCTTTTCTAAACCATGCAACGCAGCACATTCCCACATTGGATCACAACAGGGTCACGGCAACATGTTAGTCTGCAGGAAAAAGCACAATTTGCTTGTTGATAGTATTGCGCTGAAGGTGCGTGAAACAACGTCCTTCGGTCCGTTTTGCTAAAGATGAAGGCAACAGGCTAACGTTACCAGCGTTGAAAAAATCTACATTGTCCCTGTTGTTTTCGTAATATCTGTTCTTTATATGCTGCTAGCACAACAACAATGTTGAATCCAAGCTAAGCGAAGTGAGGAAGCAACTCGCTGGCACTAAACACAGCCGATAGTTTCTCTATGTAAGTCGGCTTGAGAATATTGTCGGCATGCAGATCATCTTGTGTCCAAAGAGCATGAAGTAACTTCTTAATAGAATGAAGTTCGCGATCAGGAAGAGTCTTCTCCGCGTTGGAAACCAGATTCAAGATGCGAAGCCTTTCCTCGTCGGTACGCGCTTCACATCCGAATATGAGAAGCGGCAACGGTCTCTCACAGGTGCCCATCAAAGGGAGGAGCTGTAGTCCTCGTTCGACCAAGGCAGCTACGCCAGAATCCTCTCGCTCGCCTTGGTCGGTAGTGCGACTTAGGTACACCAGCGTTGAAAGCCGATATACTTCAGACTTCGCGGCGATCCTCTCCGACTTCAGATCCGCGCGGCTGTACGATGCTGTTACCCGCAAGCTCTCGATTTCCGCTTTGAGTGTTCTGATCTTGCATCGATACTCCTGTGTGTGGGTCTCGGGATTATCGGATGGTAGAATTTCCGCAACAACCTCGGAGAGAAGACCCAACGGCTGGAAGAATCGCTTACTTTCCAACGATGCTTGGCCCATGATCATCGAAAGCTCAACACGGGCTTTCTTCCTCATCTCTGGCGAAGTGAACGGCCTTGTGTCGCAAATTACCTGACTTGGTAGCAGCGCTTTGGGTTTCCTCCAATGGCGAAGGCTGAATCGAGCTAATATCTCATGATATGATACCCACTCCAGCAACATGGGAGCGTCTGAGACCCTCCAAAATTTCTCAAGCGAGACACTTTCGATGAGAGTTCGCGAAGAGCGTAGATAGCAAAGCCAATGATTTGTTGAATGCGAGCTCTTTTGGGTCTGTAAGAATAGTGAGTGAGAATATTCCAGAATTCCTTTTGCAACATAACAGCATATGATCTCCACAGACCTTCTGTATAGGTTAGGTAGAATACAAGAGAATCATATCATACCTCAAACATGCAAAGAACCATCCCAGCTGCTACGTGCTGAACAGCCTTGTGGGCAGACATGCCTTCAGCAGCTGACAGAGACAGAGCACGCAAAGCCGATAGTTTCAGCTCCTCGGCACGAAATACCGGTCCGTACCGATACTGTGCTGAAAAGGCAAGCAACGCGTGCTGCAAGGCTTTGCCAGCATGGGAGATTTCCGATAGGGCAATCCGAAGCAATACTTCTCCTAGGGGTTGACTACTGAAACTTGAAAGATTCGGTCTCAGGGTCTCTCGAACTGGAAAAAAGAGTGAGCCACCGTCAGGCATGCCGCTCTGAGAGGGAGGTCTGATATCTTATGCTTACAGAAACGGAAAAGGCTTTGGTCGGTGGCATTTGATCCGGACGAGGACCATGGCAGTGGATACTTCATGATGGGACGTATCATGCGCCTAGCAATAAGGAAGTTGTGTACTTCGATGTCCCATGAGGTCGCATTGATCATATGTAATCGACCTGAAGTATTATTGACCCGAGGGAATAATGCGGCTCGGCTGATAAGTGACCTCTTGCCATCAGTAGCCCTTGGCCAGGACAATCGAAGCCCGTAGCCCTGGCATTTGCGGTTGGATTTGATGCAGTTCGTACAGCGTGGAAACCGGCGGTCACAACTGACTTTGCGATCTGCCGAAACCGTCAATACTCAGAGTGCCTACTGATCAGAGCTCTCTGCATAATATGAGCGAACAATGAAGGGAAATGCGTCCAGACGGTTCATTTTGGTGCTCAGGACCAATCGAGTCTAGCGTACCTATGCAAGTTCCACAGCGCTTCTTCGACGATGCTACGGCAGCCGCATTCCTTGAGTTTGTCATGTTTTTCGTATCGTCGAGAGAATGAGGTGATCCCGAATCGAGAAGGGGAATATAATCACAGACTCATTCGCAAAAAGTTGCTTGCTGACTGGTTTCTAGATAGATCATTCAGAAAGGACGAAGCTGACCACTGTTCGCTTTTGATTTCTAAGCGGGCGAGACGGCGTTGTCTCAGGGGTCGAAGATGCACGCCATCTTAGTGCAATTCACCAGGGTAGACGCTAGGAAACTTCCGACTGACGAATTTACTGGGCAACTTTTTGCGAAGGATGCTCACCCTAGCGTATCAACAGACTAGCCAATTAAATTTGCATGGGGAACATAAGCACCGAAGAGTGTGGGCATCTTTTTGCGAGACACAATGGTAGCAGTTCTCCTAGCGTCACTGTGCATGCGATTGCTTACTCATGCGATCTAGAATTCGATGATCAGAGAAATTCCCTCCACGTTTCGGGCGGGTGCGCATCTTTCATTACCAGATGTGCAATGACTGTGGAAACCTTCGCCTTCACGAGCGTCAGCAACTCCCAATGATGTGGCGCCGGGTTGGAGTAACCCTCTGATAGCGTCCAGGGTAATGTGGAAAGCGTCCCTCCAGCCTGCATAATCTCGTTGGAAGTTGCACTCGTTTTGGGCAAGGCCCAATCACATTACTCATTCCATGCTCGAACTCGGGAGGGGCACGGAAACCGAACATACGAGATTGAAGAGGATACGTGTGTATATAAACTGCCATGATGCCTCTGTGCTTCTTATCATTTGGGCTCATCACATCAACTACGCCAGCAGATTCAGCATTCAACCTCGACAGCTAGTAAAACCAATTTCTCTACCACATCACGTTGGAAGCTTACCATACACACTCAGAGATGCCTTCCTATCTCATCACAGGAGTCAACCGCGGCATTGGCGTACGTCAGCCCTTGAGCTTTTCTTGACTTTTGTGTTTGAAGAGATGGAACTGACCAGAATGACAGTGGGGATTCCTCAGGAAATTATCCGAGGACGCCAATAATACCGTGATTGGCAGCGTTCGCGATAAGGCTGCTGTCGAGAAAAAGATTGCCGAGGAGCTCGGAGACCGTCCCAATATTCACATCGTGGAATTCGAGCTAGTCGACTACGAAAGCATCAAGGTTTGCAAATTCTAATTGGCACAAAACACTGAAGCCTTGGTCTCGGAAGCTGATGCAGCTTGCATAGAAATCGGTTCCGGAAGTCTCCAAGATCACCGGAGGCAAACTTGACTACCTCATTGCCAACGCAGCATTTGTCTCGCCTATCTCGACCTGGCTCCCCATTGGAAAGCAGTAGGTCTTTCGTAGAGGCGTAGTATAATCCCCAGTGATCAATCATCAACTGACATTAGACTTCTTTCAGAGCTGAAAAGCCGGAAGAGCTTGAAGAAGATCTATTGAAGAGTTTCAAGATCAACGTCGTTGGCAATGTCCACCTATTCAGCCTCTTCTTGCCGTTGATACTCAAGGGAGATGTTAAAAAAGTCATTGCCATCAGCTCCGGTATGGCCGATCATGAGATGGTTAACCAGTACCGCCTCGAAGTCAGCGCCCCCTACTCCATCAGCAAGACAGGCGTGAACATGGCCGTGAGCAAGTTCCACGCCCAGTATGCCCAAGACGGAGTCCTTTTCATGAGCATCTGCCCCGGAATTGTGGACACTGGACACAACCAGAAGCGTAAGCCCCTCTGACTGTGGTGGACTATAACTGTTTTAGTCCCGAAACTAACCATCATTTGTTTCAGTAAGCGAAGTGCACCAGGAGTACTTTCTGAAGACCGGTGCCATTTTCAACGAGTATGCGCCCGGTGTTGCGCTCGCTACTCCAGAAGACTCTGTCAATGATGTTCTCAAGGTCATCTACGACTCCAGTCTTGAGAACGGCAGAGGTGGCGAGTTCATCTCTCACTTGGGCACCAAGAGATGGTTGGAGGCCGGCGCAGGAAGCGTTGCTCTTTGAAGGACACATGAATTCATTATGCTCAACGGTCCAGAATTGAGACGTATGATTGTCGAATGTTTGCAGTCAGTCGGGTAGAGAACCATCACTCATTGCTTCCCAATACCGAAAACCTCCAATATTCGAGCCTTTACCAGTTCAGTACCTATGGAACAATCCCAGAATGGCAATCAGAGAGGTGTGGAAAGTAAAGCCATGGCCCGTGATTCATACTTGTGATTGTAGTGGAGACAATTGATTAGACAGGTACACCTTTGGGGGAACAGCTCACTTACTAACTCATGGCCACTCTTTGTGAAATCGAGTATTGTTTTAGGTGACAATCACATCAGCTAGATCACGATTGTCGAAGTACAGCACTCGGCATACAGCTCTTATCATCGTGAGAACTCATTACACGTGCATGCAGGTTACTCAGCTTACTGAAACATCAGCTGACCTGCGGTACAGGTCAGCCTGGACTACATATCACGCACACATGCTTCTTGAGGCATCTTACTGGATGAGTCTGCTTGCCCACGATGATATAATCAAGAAAGGTAACTGACTTCAACTGAGCGTGCAATCAGTCTATTCCTCTTGTAATCGCTGATTTTACCTAAGACTACACAGAGGACAAGCAACACATACTACATTACCACGAGTGGAAATACCAATACTTCTCATTCTCAACTTCTACGTGACATTGACACCTAGATATCTCAATACTGATAAACTGTCTTATGATGCACAGGGGCTCTGTTGTGATCATTATCACTGCATGCGATCTGGGTGTCTCACGATGCTGACGACCTACAGTGTCCAAGTACACATCTGCCGTCATCAAGACTCAAGCGGTAATATCAAGTATCTGGTACTTCTTCCGATCACATACCAGCCTTACAAGGTCATAGACATTCTTCTTCGAATTGAAATTAATTGTCTGACATCAACGGACTAAGGTAATACCATTCGAATGATTTGTACTGTTGTGTTCCAGGTCACAACCGAGACATAGACTGCTCTAAATGCGGCGTAGGAGCTCATACTGCCATAAACAAAGACAACATGATAATTAAAATAAGTAAGGCCATATCCCTTAGCTCAGTTGCTTATTCTCACCATCAAACTCAGAACCTACTCGCATTACGTCGGATCCATTTCCAGTCTTCTTTTGGATAAGCACTCAGCCCCAGGCAAGTTCACTAGCCATCACTATGAAGCTAACTACTTTTGCCATCTTCTCTTTCACGGTTCAAGCTCTGTCAGCCACTCTGTTGAAGCGCGAATGCGGCGTGCCACCAGGCGCACATTGCGATATGGTCGGCCGGATCAGGTGCGAATTTAACGGAGGACATATGATACATTTGGAAGAGTCAGGAGAAGTTTTGCGGAGAATCTGATTGGAGGGAGGCCTATGTTAACCCTTTGCAAACTTCAAGATGTATTGCGCTGCTGATAATACTTGGTCGTACGGCTCGAACTGCACTGCGGCTGGTAAACCTTGCCTTTGCGAGACGCTGTTTGAACTCAACTCAGCTTGAAGGACGAGGAAGACAGAGGCAAAATGGCTATGGCTTTGACTTGAAACCAACATAATGTGCTCTGGACAGGCTATTTCCAGTGTTATCCTCGAATTAAGGTTATCGTGTAAAGACAGAAACCGCGAATCGCTCCTTGTCCACTCGCTTCCCATCTAGTGTGAGAATAGGTCTATGCCTATCCATCAATAAATCTCAGCCAAGTAAACATGGCAAACTTGCAGTCCCACGGATCGATGGCGACGTTGAAATGTGCTGATCCATCATGCTGGGAATCCAATTTGCAAATTCAGAATTGGAAGTCTCACGAAAGGGGGTTTCCCCTCACGTTGTCCCTTACTCATACAAGGACATTTGCAGTCAAGTATCTGATTGGAATTGTTCACACTTACCAAAAAAAATCTTGAAAACAAAAACTTAAGATCCGCAACAAGTAGATAGTACTTTCCTCCATTGGAATCATTCAGAAGATAAGCATTCTCACCGTTGAGCATTTCGTGTTGTTTGGGAGCAGAGACCCAAGCTCCAAGCCTCTGGACCCTGACTTCAACTGTGGGGGCTCATAGTGGACAAGTCCCCTGTTTCCCCACAATGTTGCTTGGCTAAAGTGCTGCCGCCAGCCCGCAGTCTTGGGCAGATCACCCGCCGCTATGAGATCATCTGGGCCGAGTGACTAATGACCCACAAATGAGTAGAAAAGTCTGAATCCAAAGCGATGCCAGTTGGGCGATAGGAACTGATCTCGTCGAGAACATGATCTCCAGGGCGTCCATCGTGCTTGATTAACCCTTTTGAGCAGCCAGTTCAATGTCTTCTGTGATATTTGTACTTGTGAGTCAAGTATTGCGCTAATAGATTTGGTGGTTAAGGGGGAAGTTAAGGTTTGCTTCCCAGCTCATCGAAATAACCTGCCAATCCAACTATAACTCCAAAGAAGCTGACCTACTTTATCATGCATTACATCAAAACATATAGCATCCAGATTTCCGTCGGCAACGACAACACCCCCGTTCATAATTAAACTTAAATAAGACTCACAGAAGGCACATATTTTACTGACATTTCATTGTGAGGCGAAACCGCCAAAGTCGTACCGCTGAACTTGCCGCTGGCGAGAACAAGGCGGATCTTGGCGTCCCCGTGCGGGCCAAAAGTGGATTGAAAGACGTAACAAGAACTGCTGAATTTTCGCCCGCCGTCCCATTCTCTAGGCGGAGGTTCCAGATCCAGTAATGCCTTTTCTTTTTTATCGTGTCAGAAAATCTTGAGCCGAATGTCATTCACGCCTTGGTCGGCTCAGATGGCGCGGAATGAACCCGCGTGAGTCAATCCAAAGTTGCCGAAGGTGAGAGGAACCGGAATGTCGTCTTCTTGAAAACATTCTTCCCTCAAACATATGCCGACGAGAACCGTTCCCGAACAACTCAGAATCCGGGGCCCCTCAAAGTTAACCGCTGCAGGAACAAGCCATTTCTCCACCGATCCAAGCTGCGTGTTCATGTTGGCCTGTTGATTTCGATCGAGTCTATTCGAACGCTCCACCGAGCCTGACTGGTTCCACCTTCTCCGCGGTTCAGCAAGTCGAATTGTGAGGGAATCGCGATCGAGGCCAGGATCTCCCACCACTCGGTTCCTACTTACCGAGTCTTACCCCGGATTGCGCAATACAGAAATCATGGGGAACGAGGCTGAAGCAATGAGAGCGCCTGTCGATCCTGAGCGTCAAGATTTGCCCAGCCATCAAGGATCAAAAGGCCATGAGCAAGATCCCATTGCGCCACCTGCGTTCTCGACGGGCTCGGGCGGCATCATCGAGAAGGAAGAAGGCGAATTGATCAACTTCAAGACATTACATTGGCTGTAGGCTTCTTCTACAGCAAGATTTACCTAGAGATATGCTGACGTTGGTACAGGCAAGGAGGCATCGTCCTCGTCGCAGAGACAGTCTCTCTAGGAATTCTATCGCTTCCGTCCGTCCTTGCAACCGTTGGACTGGTCCCCGGAGTCATTCTCATCTGCGTAATCAGCGCTCTTGCGACCTACTCTGGTCTTCTCCTCGCCGACTTCCGGAAACAGTACCCCTTCGTCCAGCACTTCGGCGATGCGGTCGAGTTAATTGGAAAGCCCATTGGTATGGGTGGCATCTTCCGAGAGGTCTTCGGATGGGCCCAGACTATTCTGCAGGTTTTCCTCATGGGAGGTCACATTCTCATGTGGACTATTTGCATGAATACCCTCACGAATAGTACAACATGTACCGTCGTCTGGGCTGCTGTTGGAATGCTGGTTTTCTGGGTCTTCAACGTTCCTAGGACCTTGAAGTGGACGAGCTGGATGTCAGCAACTTGTGAGTCATCAGACGGCTATTGATTGCCACGAATGGTTGCTAACTTCCGCAAGCCTGCGTATCTATCGTGGTGGCTGTTCTAATCACGGTCATTGACGTTGCCATTGAGAAGCCCATTGGAAGTGGGTCGATTGACGTCTTCAAGTCCCTCGGCTTTTCTCCCGCTTTTCTGGCTGTCACCAACATTGCAGGTGCATTCTGTAAGTAATCCACACAATGAAAAGATCAGAAACCATACGGACTACGGCTCACAAAATCCCCTTCTAGCAAGCCATTCGATATTTTTCAGCGTCATCGCCGAATTCAAGAACCCCGACGATTGGCCAAAAGCACTTGCCTTCCTTCAGATCACGGATACAACCCTCTACATTATCGCTGCCGTCATTATCTACGTTTACGTGGGCCCCGATGTTCCCTCGCCGGCTTTATCTGCAGCAGGTAGCGCAACTATCAGGAAAGCGATTTGGGGCGTTGCTATTCCCACGATTGCCATCGCTGCCGTTATTTACGCCCACGTTGCTTCTCAGTACGTGTTCACACGTATCTTTGGTAACACTAAGCATGTGGTCAGAAGAACCCGAGTATCGACAATCTCTTGGCTTCTCATCACTCTGGGTATCTGGGGAATTGGCATGGTGATATCTGAATCCATCCCCGTCTTCAACAATCTACTGGGGCTGGTCTCTGCTGCCTTTGCCAGTTGGTTCTCCTTTGGACTGCCAGGTATTTTCTGGCTCTGGATGCACAAAGGTAATTGGTTCTCGACCTGGCAGCAGAAATGCCGGTTCGCGGGGTCTTCGCTACTTTTGCTTGTGGGAATCCTGCTTTGTGTTCTTGGATTGTGGGTCTCTATTGAGTCCATCGCGAAGGGTGGATCTTCCGCGAAACCTTGGACATGCGCCAGCAACGCCGCAGAGTGAGGTACCTACCATCTTAGTTGGGGACATTGATATACGTAGTCGAGTCCTGTGTATTACTATAATGCGACATCTCTATCATTCAAGTCACGGGGCAAGGGTCTTCTAATGAACCATAACTAAATTTATGGTTGTGTGTTCTCGACCTAACGTCATGGCTGGTCGGTATCTTGAGTTGGTGACTGCACGGAAGTTGACTGTGACCGACTGCCTCAGACGTGTTTTTTGGACCTAATTTATCACTTTACTAGCACGAGCAAGGGGCAATACAGTCGTCCAATATTACTTCGGCAGAAAGTCTGCGATACGCACGGTGAAACGGGAATGGGCGGGGAATAAGTTCTCCAGCTCTCGGACCAGGTTGCCTGGCACCCACGCGCCCCGGCACGCCTGGGTAATTTTATTACAAACATTGCAAGCCGCGTCTAAGTCATGACCGGCAATGGGTTTCCTTTTTTAAGCCCAGCTTACTGCTGAGTTGGCAAATCGCATGCAGTGCAAACATCTATTCCAGACTTTTTGTCACAGGCCTTGCAGCACCTCAGAGGCGTGATACACTTGCTGCTAGCTAGGGTGCGCCTGGTTGGTAAGCACCTCGTCGTACAGAGACAATGTTCACATCCCTTGCAGCATGTCATCTCACTTAAATTCAGCAAGAAAGTGTGTTTGTGGATTAAATTGTTTGAAATTCTTGTTGGTATCTATGTGACAGACTACACATTATTTGCAAGAACAAGCCCCTCCTGTTAAAATAAATCATGACTTCATCGAGGTGCGCGCGTGTATGGGCAGCCCCGTATAAACAAGAAGTTCGGTCACATATGTGCAGAGTTCCACCCTCCAGCGGCCCCCAGCGGCTATTTTTTGTTGTCCTTTCGGAATTGCACGAGGCAAATTTACAGAAGGAGAGCGAAGATGGCGGCAGCCAAGCCGGCATCGGAGAAGGTCATCAGCGCAGCGCCGGCAGTGACAACGGTGGTGGCGGTGGGAGAAGCACCGCGGGTGCCGTTGGTGTGGGCAGTAACGGAAGCGGTGGCAGTAGCGGCGGTGACGGCCTTGGTGGCGGTTCCGACACCCTTGTTGTCGTTGCCGGTGCCGGTGCCGGAGGAGCTGCCGGAAGATCCGGAGGAACCCTTGCCGGCGGTAGCGCAGGTGCTGAGCTTGTCCTGCATCTCCTGGAAGATACCATCGAAGTGAGTGATTTCATCGCCACCCTTGCCACCGGCAGGGAACTTGGTGGAGATGGAGGTCATCAAAGTGTGGACGTTTCCGCCTAGAAGATGTTAGCGGCGTGGTCTTGGAACCCTGCGCCATGAAAGCGACTTACCAATCTGAGCAACCCAAGAAAGAGTGCTGTCGCAGATACCTGCCTGGGCGAACGAAGGAACCTTGTCGCTCAGGTCAACAAGAAGCTTGTCGCCAGCGGCGTTGAGCTCGTCAGAGAGGGGCTGGAAGGCGATGGCCTCATCCATGGTCAGAGCCAACATGGCAACCGCGTTGTAAGTGGCAGTGCGGATGGTGGTGAGCATGGTGGAAGAGGCATCCTCGAGGTCCTTGCCATCACCGCCAGCGTAGGCGCAAATCGAACCATCAAGACTCTGGATGCCATTGAGGACGGTGGTCATGATGGTGTTGACCTGGCTGAGCTCACGCGCGCAGAGCTCGGGGGTAGGGGTCGCAATGACGCCAGCGGCGAGGAAGACGATGGGAGTGGTGAACTTCATTTTGATGGTTGTTGGAATGAGAGTAATCAAAGAGTGACTGGTAGCGAGTGATGTTGGAGAGGACGAAGAAGCAGGCTTTTGAAGGCGGGTGGCTGTTTTGATGCTGTTGACTGATGATCTAGACATGGGAGATCGACAGTCCATGTGCAGTGTTTATATATCCATGCCAACTTGACCAACCCAGAGTTGTAGATCGCTCTGACTTTCTTCTCAACCCCCTGAGTTACCCCAGATAATCTTACGCGCGAGGTAGAATATCACGTGTGTGGGATAACGGGCGATGGCGGCTAAGATTTCTCAAACAACGCCGGCGCAATTGCTATTTTTTCAGATTGTCTTCCTTTCCCTCCCTCTAGCCTTGTGCTCGGACAAGCATAGGATCTGACCATGATCGATTTTTGGTGCGCGGCAAATGATCAGCGGCGGGTGGTGAGGGCGCCACGCGCACGCTAGATCAAACCGTTTCTTTTTTCGCGGACATGGCGCGAACCTGGGGGGATTAATCAGGAACGCGCCACATCCTGTGCACCCCCAAACGAGTCATATTTCGAGAAATTGGAGGGGACTTTTCTTTCTAAGCACTAGTCTACATGCATGTCTAGTAGTAATAAGCTCTTCTGCGCAGGCTTCCAAGTCTAGTCGCTCGCGGGCGAACACAGGCGTTGTGACTGACCGCGTGCGGCTTGGCAGCTGTCTCGCCGAATGGCTCAGAAGGATCACAATGGCTGATTCAGACAGGCTTTCAGCTGGCGCAAAGACCTGGTGGATTGGCCTTAATCAGCATGCCACAGATCAGAGTGCTTGGCTTCGCGTTGTTCTAGACCTTGTCTCGAGGCTCGCTCAGACTGTTATGGTTGTCCTGGCTGCATTCATGGCAAACAACCTCAAACACAGTCAGGATAAGCGCGTTGTAGTAGCTTCCATTTCAACTTCGGCCCATTCTGGAAACTTCATTGCGGAAGAGCTGTGCACATCTTCGTTGCCCTGCTCGTGACTCAATTAGTGCAATTGTGCACAGAACTTCAGCCGCTCCCGCAACTCGCCCACCTCATTGTTTCCAAACAAGAAACCGTAGGGCCGGCATATGAGAGGTCGGTTGTGAAGTATAGCATCATGGCGCTGCCTTGCGGCTGAGGTTGGTTTCGGTGTTTCCCGCTGTGGCTAACCACCCGCTTTTGCAACGTGCAGATGGAGTTGAAAAGCTGGAGGCTTGAGAAGCTTTTGGCACGGACAGAATTTGAGGGCTGATAGTGTATTGGCCGTCCGAAGAAGCCAATTCAGCCTCGTGAAACTGGACTCACGGATCATTCCTCCTGCGTTCTGTCAGCTCCACTCGGACAAGCAGCTCGTCCGGCAAATGTGTCTGGTTCCAACAGCCGAAGCTTTGCGCTCGAGCCCATCGTAGACCACGGCGAGACCCCCTCTGAACATGTAATTTCAGAGAGAAGAATAGTATTACGCCAAGTAGAGGCCGTAGATCATTCTAAGTTCTAAGTGCAACATGGCCCTCATGTTTTCTTCTTTCCTCTGTTGCAGCCAGCTTGTTACCACCTCCCAAGACCATGCAGGTCTCGGTGTGCAATATAAGTCAGAGGAAGTGCCGTGGATCTTTGCAGACAAATTTGTTGCAACTTCTGAAGATCTGCCCGTCTTTTTCAGTTCTGCCGCGATTTGATGTTATCAACTTCTCATTTATCAGGATATCTAACAATCATACACGTTCGTTTTAAACGCTTCCATGTCTTCTAGGAAACTGCAAGTCATTCCCATCCACCTCAGGTAGGACTTTGCTCAAAGGTGACGGATAAGGTCCTTCAGCCCAGACTATGTTCTTGATTTCAGCAGAGTACTATATGTGCCGCATATCATTTTGGTAAGTCAAGCTAAGCAGTCGGTGAGGTATAGGAACTGGCTCTGGACGGCACATAGAGACAGAGAAGCAGTGATGCAACATACTGATATGTGTCTTCAGATACCTCAGGTAACGGCCAAGATGTTGACTCACACCAAATAGAATAGCTCAGGTGTTCCTGCCAGGTCGGTCTCGGAGATCCGGGATAAAGCCATTATCTATTAGTACCTTAGTACTCAGAAAACTGAGGAGACGTTGACCATAGACGCATCTTCCATAGTGGACATTTCTTTCTTCATCACACCTCGACTCAGCGTCATGGAGCTCGGGCATTCATTCGATCACTTTTTGGATTCTTGAAAAACGTGAGGACCTCAGCACCGCTCTAGGACTTCCAGATATGGAACGGTGAAAGCTTCTAGTCACTTCTTGGTGATGCATTGATGATACATGAGACCTCTGTGTGATTAACACAGTACATTTCCACCTACTTACCTCAACTATAGCTAGAAATTCCCATTCTCAGCTTTAATAGAACTCAAAACAGAGAATACTAATCCTTGAATGGTGTATCCGAGGGATGCGTGAATTTACTAAAGGTCATTCGAGGGGCTAGCAATAAGTTACGACGAATGAGAACCAAGTCGTCTGATGTATGGCCAGATGTATCGCATCGCGGGGTATATTGTGAGAAGACAGCCGAGGATATCATTGGTCGTGTTTAGTAATCCGTCTCGGCTGGTACTTTTCTCCCAGTCTGAATTCTTCCATATATCCATGTGAGAAAGTATTAGATGTGGAACTACAAAAGAAACTCAACCGACCTGACTACCTGAGGTATCCCCTGTGTCTGAGCTCATATCTCAAATACAGCCTCAGCTTCCTACGTTCGAAGCCTTACATCTTCCAACCTGTGCAAACATCTTCCCGAGACCCCAAACATATCGACGATCAAACTTTACAGAATCGTCGAAGAAGACTCGCCAACCATGTCTCAACCAGTCTATCAGATAGTAGTAACTGCTGATGAGGACAAAACCACAGCCTCGAAGCGACGTGCTATCTACCTCCGTCCATTTCTCCTCTTCTGGCTCAATTCCCTTGTCTTCGAAGTTGCAATGCTCATAGTCAGCATCGCTGCCTTTTCAGGATGGCGCAGTATGTTCCCTAAGTTCATGTGGACCATCGTGTTTTGCCCTCTGGGCATGGGAGGCGCCATGGGAGGCCTCATCAACGCCTTCATTGTCGATCGCATCTACGGAAAGCAAGCAGTCCATTTCGTCGCAATCCTGAGCGTCCTGGTTCTAGGGGCGTGTAACAACCTATGTTATAACTTGGATCTCGTGTTCGGATGGTTTGGTGCTCAGGACCATTTCTGGTGGTGGCACTGGCGGTATCTGGGGGTTTGGTTTGTTGGGTACTTCAACGGCAGGATGATGTTCACGGATGAAGGACAAAAGTCACTTGCTGATTTGGGTGTTTAAAACTCGAGTGGATTTGAGAGATCGTTTATTATTTATGTGTTGTCTCATTCACGAAAGATCTAAGACAGGTGTTATCTTTCATATAGCCACAACTATTCAAAGAGAAGTTGGTTATTGCGGAATAATATACATCAAAAGGACATTTATGAACACACTTGATATACCTAGGTACATGTGGGAGTGCACGTTCAATTCATTCCATCACTAACCTATCTTGTCTACTGGGATCAGAGTCCAAGATACAGAATTTGCGCAAGAAATCCGAGAATCAAACCTAAGTAGCGATAGTAATGTGCAATTTGTTTTAGCCATATGGTATCTTTCGTTTGAAGCCGAAATTCAAACTAGAAGTCATTTGGGGTCAGGTCAGAGTACGTATTTTTGTCTAATATTTTATAATACTGAACATTAATCATTAAACTCTATCGCGTCATTAATCTCGTGAGATCGGGAGATCTACCACACCGGCAGCTAACGTACAGCCCCCAAAGAATAAGATATTAACATCAAATCATCGCCACGTTCAGCACATGCGATCAACGCCGAGCCAGCGCTTTAAGAACTCAGAGCCTGGTGATACTGTCGGTGCAATCGGCCAGGTTGTTCTTATCATTTCCAAACAGTGCCATTTTTTCCATGCTACTCCGTGTCAGTAATCGAGCATACATACAGTTTTCTCATCATGGAGTAACTCACGCGTTGGTAAAGCTGCTGCTCCACTTATTCTGCTGTCCGATGAAGCCCTGGAACTTCTTTCCGATGTCTCCAGAGGTAGAGGTGGAGATCTTGGAGTCCGATGGGAACACAAAGACGCCCGGTGCAGCAGTGCCCTTCGTCGCGAAGTCGTATGTCTCCTTGTAGTAGCTGACGTCCCATTTTCCAGGCCTGGTAGTGAATGATCAGCATTTGTATAACGATGTTGAATTTCATGACATGATGAGGCGACTTACGTTGAGTCTTGGGACGCGTTGGCCTTGGTCGTATCGACAAAGTTTTGCGTCGAGGTGCTGTGAGCCCCCAGGAGCGCAGCAAGAGCCTCGGCGTCAAGGCCCTTCTTCTCGAAGAGTGCAACGAGTACGTCGGCGGAGGCAAAGACGTCAGGCAAGCCACCATCCTTGGCAGACGTGGTGCTGTCCGCACGGCCGATGAAGGTCTTCACCTTGGGCCCCCCGGGGCAGAGGAAGATTGCGGCATCTGAGGCGTGGGATATCAGCAAAAGAATACTTCCCACGTGACTTTTCTGATTTCATAGCGAGACTTACTTCCAGCGAAGACAATCATGTCCGCAACGGTAGTGTTGTACTTGGTTGCAAGACCCTGTAGAACACCGGCAATCTTCTGCAGGCCCCTGTTCTCGCTCCTGTTGAGTTCGACATCAGGGTTGACACCGACAATTAGCGAGCCGTCGCAGCCACCGTTGAGGCCTTGGGAGGTGTCCCAGGAGCCACAGTCATGGAAGATTGCGCGGATAGATGCGCGTGCGAGATCGTTGCACTGAGGACCACTCATGAAGAGAGAGTTGAGCTCAGTGTTGACTTGCTTCCAGACTGCTGGGCACTTGGCTCCGCCGCGAGTGTCAAGATCCTTTGCGACGACGGCACCAGAAGAGGCATCTTCAGCGTGGGGGAGGACTGCGGCATTGGCGAGTGCCAAGAGGCCAGCGAGAAGGAGGTTTGAAGCGTGCATTACGAAAGAAAGATGGGGCGATGATGCGGTCGACGGGAAGGAAGACGTGCAGTATCTTGGCAGTGGTTGCTGTGGAAGATGTCTGAGAGAGGATGCCAAGAAGTCAGAATTCTTAATGTGAATACACCATCTTTATAGATGTGAAGAACGACTCAAAATCCCTGCTCTTCTCAGACATTCTCACTTTCTCGCATGCACTTTCGATCCGATCCAGACGCATCAGAAAGTCCGGCGGCAAGGTCAAGCCATCGTGTCGGCCCCGGTGGTATGGTTACCCCATGGGTAAGCCGAAGGCACTTGGACTGTCATCGCTGCTGACATGCCTCTTAGCCAGGCTTCATTGTACTGCAAAGTGTTGTAAATCGGGTGTTGTCAACAGCCTGGGAAGCTTACGGAATCCGAAGTCTCTAGCGTCTAACGGCATGCGAAACGGACATTGTATTCTCGGTGGCGGCTGAGCAGGTCCGGCAGAGCTAAAGCTATTAGTGCGCTTACACATTGACGCCAAAGGTATCTCGAACCAATGAGAGAGGCACCATTTCCAAAAGGAAAGTAGTTTGAAGGTAAAGAGAGCCGCATGGACATGAACAAAGAAGCACAAAAGGGGAAGGGGTCGGTCGTGAAACACAGGAACAGAGCGCATCCAGTGCCATGGGTCCTGAGACCTTTCATTCTCTATCAATTCCATTAAGGCCGTACTGCAGATACTATATCTATTCGCCGTATATGCCAGGAGAAGAATCCGCGTGCAACAAGTGGTTGCGTGAGTAAAACGGGATCAAGCCGCAGCCGAGTCCTGACCAGACCACCGGGTCAATCACAGATCCTGACGCTTAATTATCAAGATTCAACGGCTCCGTGTAGCGCTAATGTCAGTCGGTCAATGAAGTTCAGTCGGCGATTATGTCAACAGCCTTCGGCCAAAGTCTATCGTTGATAGTCTGCCCTTCAGACCAGCCATAGGGCGTCAACCACCGACTTTCAGATGAGAACCCAAGCTCCTCATGTGAAAAGAGTTAAAGTCTCCCACACTGATCGTCTAGAGGTAAGCTGACATGCGCATTTGCAGTGTGACTTTCGCGGCCAGTATGTTGGGTAAGACAGGGTCTAATACGGCGCCTTGGCCGAGTACCTAATCTGCAGGCCAGACATTGACCTGCGTAACACACAGCTCGACCGGCGAGGGGTTCCAGAACCCTTTACCCCAATTGCATGCGCACTGATTCCACAGAGGCCCAGTGCCTTGGACCAAACTACAGGCGTTGGCCAGTCCATTCACGATCCGAAAGGCCCCTCAGAAGGTGCAGACTGGGCACGGGCGCTACGCACCATTTCTCGGCCGGTGTCTGCAGCGTCATGCAGATTCAAGGCCCCGTGATTGGCTGCTTTCGTCCGAAGCCGTGGTCTGGACCGCCATTGCATTGCAATTCACCTCAACCTCTTTCCATGCATGGCCAAAGCGTGGAGTGCCTAGCTGTTCAGGAGCAGCACGAAATACCCGCCACGCGGTTTGCAATCAATCTTTTGCAACGTAGAGAGGTAAGAAATGGAGTGGGGGCGAGGTTGCATAAGTCTGGCGGTGTTCACCTTAGATTTCAGCTCGCAGTAGATTGCGAGGCTCGTAGCTCAAGGCCGGAGCATTGTGACAAGCCAGGATATGGGTCGGAGTTCACTGCTTCCCTGGCCCCCTGAAATCCACCGCTATGAAGATTCCTCGACCTTTCGTTGGATTATTAGAGAAGGAGAATTTCACGCTGCGTTCCACAGAGAGTTTGTCCATCCGTCATGGTATTCTGGGATGGTTCATCTACATTGCCCACGAGTCAGTGACCAAGGGATCCAGAAGCTGAAGGGGTACTCGAGACAGGCGTTCCAGTATCACAGAAACAACTGCGAGAATTGGAGGAAATGGATCTCAGCAGGTTTAACAGAGCTGCCAAGGAAGAGAAAGATTTTTGAATCTCATATTCAGGACGGCTAATGAAAACAAGAAGTCGATTGATTGAGATCGGAATTATCAGATATGCGCATTGAGGTCTGACAGCCGCATTCGAGGCCACCTTGGTATTTGACAGCTTCTCACACGAGAGGCCTCAACAGGGAATCGGAGCTTTTCAAGACGCCCTACCTCGACATCAGTGGACTACAACCAGCGATCATTGCGTTGATATTCAGAGGCTGTTCGCTGAACAGAACATAGAATCATCCGCGTTTGCTATGTCTTTCATATCTCTTTCAGTGCGACGTAGTGGCCTGCATATGTTCGTATCTTCTTTGTAGTGGAAGGGAGGCACAGGGAAGACCGGGACCAGCTAATTCAAAGGGAAAGGTGGACGAAGTTTGCTACGATCAAAGCAATCCAGGGATCCTTGTTTCAAGAACAATACACACTATTCAGTGCTCAGTCAAAGAGTTGGTTAAAGCTTCTTATTGGACGACAGGAAACCAAGAACGCTGTTCACATTCGTGAATTTTGGTATTCGCAGCCCTGGGTGTGAAAAGCTTCAAGCAAGAGCACTTAAGGATGGAGCCGTGCCGACTGTTGAATGCGAAGCCACTTACTGCCTATGGGATGCCTTATCCGAGGCAAATCACACCTGGACACGCTTCAACAACTCCTGAATCTATCTCGTACCATTGGCTGTGCCTGCGTTCCTCAGAAGGTTGTTCTAGCTTGTTGTCTGGCTCTGATCTGAGCGGTGCACGTCCGCCATCAATCTCTCCGCCTAGCAGTCAGCTCGGTTATTGGCACGACTATCTTTTACTCTTATGAATCTCCACCATGGACTTAACACACTATAACCCGAGAGATAGCCCTTTTGTTACAATTGTAAGTAATATGGCATGGATTGACATTCGAAATGACACCAATTTTGACATTTTCAGCTCGATGTCCCTAAATTCGGAACACTTTACTACAAGATTGGAGAAGACAATCCCACAGAAAGTCGTAGCACTTCCGAAGTTGTGGAGCTAGCCGTGACAATTATGGAAAACCGCTTTTACAACCTCCATCTGGAAGGGGATGGCAAGCCCAATCCTGACTCTGAACTAAACAGAAATTCTGTCAGGTCATTGCAAAGATCAAAGACAAAATTCCCAGGGAGAAACTTTTCGTGTCACTTAAAGTTCAAGTACCGGAGCAGGAAGCCCTAGAGGCGGGGGAGAAATCCCAAGAGGCGAAGGCGAAAGTCGTGACACTTGAAGTCCAAGACTCGAAGGAGAAAGCTAAAATCCTCGAAAAGAAAGTCCTTAAGTTCTTGAATAAGTTCTTGACTGAGTCCTTGGCCTCAATGAAGCTCAAAAGCGTAGACCTGTAAGAAGTCCCCCTCCTCTAAATCAATCACCACGTTTGAAAGCCAACTCACGTGCGCTATGCTGATATCAGTGCTAGTATTATTCTGCATGATGAGAACCGCACTTCCGAAACAGCCGAGATGGTTTGGAAGAAGCTGATAGAAGAGGTCACAGCCCAGAAAGATGGAAAAGGAAGAGCCCAGTTTCTTGGGGTCAGACCTTGGAGCAGTCAAAATGATACTTTTGTGCTCGTCGAAGCACTCCAAACCCCAGCCGTCTATCACCAACAAGCCTTAGTCTTGCCCAATTATCCCGACCTGAAGTCCTGGATGGAGGCACGTAAACACACCAAGTCCAGCTTTGTGCGGCTTGCTAAAGTACCCAAAACAAAGATCACAGTCCACAATCAGAAGAGTACATGGCCATTCGAGTTGGTGACAATGGAAACGACAAATGTCCTTGCCTCGCTGCACGGGAAATCATGGCCAAGTACAATGATTCTCGCCTGGCATATGGCGCATGATGAAGAGATTCGACAAGCTGTAAAAGACTGGCAGATGCTAGATCGTCAACAGGAACGTGGAAATCATCCAATGCCGGTCTCAAGATCGGTGATAGGGTTGGAGGCCGGAGAGGCGGCAGGAAAGAAAGAACGCGAAGAAGAGAGCAGAACAGGGAGTAAGAAAAAGATCGATGTTAGCAGGTATAAGGATGCAGTGAAGGTTTCGTTATCGCCTTACCACCAGGGGGAAATCAAGGTGATACTTGATAACTACTTCAAAAGGGGTTGGCGTCTTTTGTCAACTACCTAACGTTTACGGACAGTAAGTACCCACTACTTTACTGGCGTTGTCTTGCAGGTGATGGGATAAGTACTCAAATTATCTAGAAAGCCGACTTAGTAATCTGTATCTCACGACATTAGAAGTGGATTAGTGTTGTTAAACCTCCGCGTACCTAGTCAAATTTTCGCGTATTAACCGTCTTGGTTTTCTATGGCTTTCCACAATTGATTTTTTTCTACAAACCTTTGAGCACGGGCTCGGTTGAAACATGTCGGTTATACATACTCACGTAAAGTTTTCCAATGAGGATATGGTTGAAATAGACAGGCAAAAGTTCGACTTGTGACAGCGCATAAAGCTGAGAAGACTGCTTGAAACCAGCTGGTCGAGGAGGAGTACTTTGTGTGACCACTAAACTCGAGCTATCGAAGAACCGATGCTGGACAAAGCCAGTCACTCAGAGACATCCGAGATCAGTTGTATTTGGGCAAATATACCGTCTTTTACGATAGCTGATCCGGTTCCCACGTGATTGCAAATATACCACCGCCTGCAGACAGCTGATGGGGAGTTTCAGAGCCCAACACTCTAGTCACATGCGCATTGACGCCCCAGACTCCAGACTTTGTCAGTCTTCTCCAAGACCCGGATTTCGTTTGAAGTATTATAGGGCGCGCGCTGCGGATCATTCCCAGCCGTGATCTATAGCGTCGTGGAGAATTGAATCACCGTGGTTGGCTCACCGGTCTAGACCTTATCCGCGGTACCGCCACGTGCAACGCACGAACACAATTCGACCTTCATCCCGCTGCATTTGACCAACCTCGTAGGTTTATCAAGAGTGTATGTATGAGGTGAGTAATTGCATTACAAGGGAATAATGATCAGGGTGTCGCAGCATCAATACTAAGCGGTGTT